TAAAATGTAAAGGAAAAGGCATGGCTGTGCTCTAGTAAAACTTTATTTATGGGCACATGTCCATTATTACTTAGCTTGCTAGCCACACAGAAACATGTAGTGAGCTGCATGTGGCCTGTGGGTGGCAGTTTGCTGTGAGGTAGGATAATATAAGAAACCTGATGTTAATAAGTTTTGTAGTATCTGTGCTGCCTGTGTATTCTCTGTAGAGATCCTTTTCATGCTCACTTAGCGAAGTGAAAAATAACTGGAAATGCTAAATGAATGCAGTGAGTGGAAGGGAGTTGTGCTGACTTTTGGGCAGTGGAGAAGTATTCCCCTTGGAGGCCGGCTGGGATAGTGGCAGCAAAAAGCAGAGTGAGAACCACAGGGCAATGAGAGACTGCTGGCTACACACCATAGATTCAGTCTTTCATTCATTCTCTGCCGATACCTTGGTGGTTTTGTGTTTGGTTTTAAAAGGGGAAGCCAATCTTTTTTTTTTTTTTTTAAATTATTTCAGCAAAGCAATTTACTTCTGCAGAAGGGTGCCACTTGCGTCACTCAAGATCGCAAGAGCACAGAGAACAAAGGAGACCGGGGTTTTTATCCTTAACGCAGTTCCTATCTCTGTGCCACTCCCCCATGGACTGGGGTTGGATCGCACAATTTGAGCTGACCCGATTGGCTATTTGTACATATTGTTTTGAATACAGAAGGGGAGGAGGACAGAGGTGGAGCGTGTGAGACGTGCAGTTTCAGGGGAACATGGGGTACAGGTAACCAAGGGAACAGATGTGAGTTATTGACTAGAGCTGATGGGAAGAGGGTAGGCTGTTTACGGTAACTAGGGGCAAGGAAGAACAAGAAAGTTGAGTTTGAGAACAAAGGATAAGGAAATTAACAAGCTAAACTCTATAAGAGAAACTCAGAAGACTTATTGTATCTTACATGACAGTTGAAGAAGCATCTGTAGGGAATCCAGAAGGAGCATTCATGAAGGTATTACAAGCCCAGAAAAAGACATGAGCACTGAGCTGACTATTGAGCCGGAGATGGCCTCAGACAGCAATGGCATCAACTTGTCAGGCTTTGGGAGTGAGCAGCTGGACATCAGTGACGCACTAAATTACGTCTTGCCTTATTTCTTATAGAAAAATCTGTAAGATGTAGACTCAATGTTGTTACTGTTAGGGACAAGCTGCCCCAGGAACCGCCTCCCTGCCATAGTGCAGCTGACCCTTACCCTGAATACTCTGCAACTGCATTCCTGAACCCTTATCTAAGTGCCACAGCAAGGTCACCAGACTTGCTACACTAAGCAAACCCTACTTATAACCCTGCAGGCGGCACAGGGAAGGTCACGAGAAACGTGGATAAATCACAAGAAACGTGGATATACCCTCTTGTAAATTCCTCCGGTCATGAGATGATATGTGGTAAAGTTAACTGACAAGACCAAGAAGCAGCTTCTCCGCTCCTTCTGGGATCTCCATCTGGTTCGACCTTCCTGCCCCCACTTCTGCCTCCACCATGTCTGTCAGGGTGACCCAGAAGTCCTACAAGGTGTCCACCTCTGGGCCCCGGGCCTTCAGCAGCCACTCCTACACGAGTGGGCCCGGTGACCACATAAGCTCCTCAAGCTTCTCCCAAGTGGGCAGCAGCAGCTTCCGGGGTGGCCTGGGTGGAGGCTATGGTGGGGCCAGTGGCATGGGAGGCATCACCGCCATCACGGTCAACCAGAGCCTGCTGAGCCCTCTTAACCTGGAGATGGACCCCAACATCCAGGCCGTGCACACCCAGGAGAAGCAGCAGATCAAGACCCTCAACAACAAGTTTGCCTCCTTCATAGACAAGGTATGGTTCCTGGAGTAGCTGAACAAGATGCTGGAGACTAAGTGGAGCCTCCTGCAGCAGCAGAAGACAGCTCAGAGAAACATGGACAACATGTTCGAGAGCTACATCAACAACCTTAGGCAGCAGCTGAAGACTCTGGGCCAGGAGAAGCTGAAGCTGGAGGCGGAGCTTGGCAACACGCAGGGGCTGGGGGAGGACTTCAAGAACAAGTATGAGGATGAGAACCATAAGCGTGCAGAGGTGGAGAATGAAATTGTCCTCATCAAAAGGATGTGGATGAAGGTTACATGAACAAGGTAGAGCTGGAGTCTCGCCTGGAAGGGCTGCCTGATGAGATCAATTTCCTCAAGCAGCTATATGAAGAGGAGATCTGGGAGCTGCAGTCCCAGATCTCCGACACATCTGTGGTGCTGTCCATGGACAACAGTCTCTCCCTGGGCATGAACAGCATCATTTCTGAGGTCAAGGCGCCATATGAGGAGATCGCCAACTGCAGCCAGGCCAAGCTGAGAGCATGTACCAGATCAAGTATGAGGAGCTGCAGATGCTGGCTGGGAAGCACAAGGATGACCTGTGGTGTACAGAGACTGAGATTTCCGAGATGAACCGGAACATCAGCCGACACCAGGCTGAGACTGAGGGCCTCAAAGGCCACAGGGCTTCCCTGGAGGCCTGCATTGCAGATGCTGAGCAGCGTGGGGAGCTGGCTATTAAGGATGCCAATGCCAAGCTGTCCGATCTGGAGGTCTCCCTGCAGTGGGCCAAGCAGGACATGGCGTGGTAGCTGCTTGAGTACTAGGAGCTGATGAATGTCAAGCTGGCTCTGGACATTGAGATAGCCACCTACAGGAAGCTGCTGGAGGGCGAGGAGAGCTGGCTGGAGTCTGGGATGCAGAACATGAGTATCTATACGAAGACCACCAGCGGTTATGCAGGTGGTCTGAACTCGGCCTATGGGGGCCTCACAAGCCCCCGCTTTGGCTCTGGCGTGGGCTCCACCTCCTTCAGCTGCACCAGCACCACCAGGGCTGTGTTTGTGAAGATCAACACCCATGATGGGAAGCTGGTGCCCTAGTCCTCTGACATCCTGCCCAAGTGAACAGCTGCGGCAGCCCCTCCCAGCCTGACCCTCCTGTGGCTCTCCCGGAGAGCGGAAGAGTAGCACAGGGAACCGGAGACACACTTGAGGCCCAGCCCTAGCCCTCAGTCTACCCACAGGGGAGTTTACTACCTGGGCACCCCCCATGCCCATGCCTTCGGCTACAAAACAATTCAACTGCTTTTTTTTTTTTTTTGTCCAAAATAAAACCTCAGCTAGCTCTGCCAACAGCTAACCTTATGGTTACCTGTTTTTTTCAAATGTAAAAGATGAGTATTCTGAAAAACCATACAAAGAGTCCCTCTCTTCAGCCTGCATCCAACAACTCATGAAATTAGAAATTGTCCAACCACAGGAAAACAGCCTGGCTAAGATTCAAAGTGTAGGCAAAAGCCTGCAGAGAGTGAAGAGAATCCTCATGGGCCCAAGGAGCATCCAGAAAAGTCACTTCAAACAGGTGGGAAAGCAGAGCAACAGGAGGGAACAGGGTGCCTGGGCATTTGTGGAGAGCGCTGCCAAAGAAAAAAGGCTCCGGAGTCCAGCTCCAAGGGAGCTGGAACGGCCTCACATAGAACAGGGGCATGAGAAGTTAGCAGGAAACGCCGTCTATATCAAGCCTTCATTCACCCAAGAGCAGAAGGCAGCAGTCTCCTCTTTGCTGAAACCCTGCTCCATGGGCGTGCCTTCTGCCTCCACCCCTGCAAAAGCCCTGCCTGAGGTCAGAAACAGATCGAAAGACTTACCCATTTTGGTTTTAGAAAATGCAAAGTTGAGTTAAAACCAATTGTACATTCCAGAAAAGTTCTCTCAATGGACTTTTCTCGCAAAGACGCCTCCATTCTCTGCAGCGAAGAGCCTCATAAATGCCCCTTCACAAGGGGCTTTTTCATCTTTAGGAGACCCGAGTCTTCAGGAAAATCTTTTTCTGGAAGTATTAGCTCCATCAGAATGTTTTAAAAACGCCACTGCAAGAAATGCCTTTGAACAAAGCATTTTTATGGAGAACACTACTATGCCAGAAGGCACCGTCTCTGAAAACACAACCTACAACCATCCACCTGAGGCAGATTCTGTTGGCACTGTGTTCAACTTAGAGAAGACTGTGAAACACAATGGGAATACAACAACATGGGCACTGGCCTGTCCCCCGAGCCCAAAAGCTTCAGTTACCCACTGCTCTTATCCCCAGGTGATCAGTTTGAAATTTAGCTAAACCAGCAACTACGGCCCTTCATCCCCAACACTGATGTGAGAAGACTAATTTCTCATGTTATCTGGACCTTGAAGAGGGACTGCTCTGAGATCCACGTGCAGTTGGCCTGTACCAAGCTCATCTCCAGGACAGACCTCCTGTTTCATCAGTGAGCAGCAAGAAGCAAAGGTGTCCAAGGCAGAATGGGATATGGACCAATGGAAAAGTGAGAGCTATATCAATGAGAGCACGGAAGCCCAGAGCAAACAGAAAGAGCAGAAGTCAAGTGAGGTGAGGACCACACAGAAACATGAGACCCAGACTTTCCCATCATTTAGCATCTGCTAGGAAAGTGCCCACACAGGAGAACCTGGGACTCCCAGACCATAGTTTGTCTTGGCCATGTAACTTCGGTCATGACAGTGATTTCCCACTTTGCTCATTTAGAGAGTGAAACAGATTAGTACACAAGGTAAACTGTAGGCTGGACGCGATGGCTCACGCCTGTAATCCTAGCACTTTGGGAGGCTGAGGTGGGTTGATCACTTGAGGTCAGGAGTTTGAGACCAGCTTGGTCAACATGGTGAAACGCTGTCTCCAAGGGGAAGCCAATCTTAATGTCCACCCATTTTCTTTAATAATGAAGCTGTATTATTTATATCTCAGAGAATTAATTAATTTCAGGTAATTTGTTAGAATTTTCCTTTCACATTTTTCAGTATTAATGATCTTACCTCTTTGTACTACTAGCCTAAGAGTTCATTAATTTTTAGGTGATAAGTAGCTGTTGTTAATAATTTATTTTATGTTTGTTTTATTGATTTATTTGTGCATATTTAACCATCTACCATAATTTTTACCTTGTATCAACAGGATTCTTACTACAGATTTAATGACCTTAACTACAGATGGATCTCTTTGGATAACTGGACCTACAGCAAGGAATTTAAGATCCCCTTTGAAATTAGGTATGTATGTTTGTGGGTGTATTTTTATTATTATTTGAACTTTTCTTCTTTTTCTATCTAGGCAAAAATCTTGTGTTTTATTTGTTTAGGTTACATATCTGAGAGTTAAGTAAGATGAAAGCCTTGTACTATAAAAGTGAATATATTATTTATGTTTTGTTTTGTATATGAGGATAGTGCCACTAATCAACAGTCACCAAATGGTGTCTTATGGAGTCATTTTTCCAATGGTTATAATGCAGTCATCTAGACCTACTCAGATCTTATGTAGACTTCCTCTTTCCCACTCCCTTGTAATCATCAGAGTATATATTTATTATATGTTATAATATATACTCTGATGATTGCATTATGATTAGCAATCATAATTAATTACTAATGTAATTAGTAATGATTAGCAATCATTAGAGTAGATATTATATTGTCTAGTAGGATTATAATTTGCTCTATGTCTAGTAGATGTATCATTTGCTCTATGTAGTACTAACCAGCCATTGAGACTATGACCTTGACCTATACTACATGGTGAGGCCAGGAGGTGAAGCACAGGTGTTGTTTTCAGTAATGTTCTGTTATTATAAGCAAATATTTCCATATGAGGCAGAATGTTACCCAAAGGTACCACTACTACTGCTAAATTAAAAAAATCCTTCCGTCCCTTTTATGTGATTTTTTTTTTTTTTTGGTAATTATTTACTAGTCTTTTAAAGGGGGAAAAAGGCCAGAATACTGTTATCAATATCATGGAGTTTCTGCTGTGCTTCAGGCTTTTATTTACAGATAATCTGTAGACTATCTTTCATAATGGTTCTGTTTCACCTTGAACTCAACATATCCTATTGACTTTCCCCCTTAAAACTTTATATTCTAACAGCTTCATTGTTTCTCTTAATGTAACACCATTTTCCAATCTTTGTCTAAGGTGCTTTGGGCTTATTACATCTTTTCTTCATCTTCCTGTGTTCAGTCTGTTCTGGGTCTTGCAAATTTTTGTCTAACATTTATCTTGGTTTTGCCCCTTCCATCTCATTTCCATCTTTCCATCTTTGCCTAGAAGATGAGTGCCAGGAAAGAGGCCAAAGCTGCCTAATCAAATTTCTTGCTTCATTCTTTTATTCTCCAATCTTTTCTATTTAGAAACATTAGATTAATCATCCCAGAATATTGATTTTGCCAAGATAGGTATTCGCTCAAGAATAGCAAGTGTCTGTTTTACTTGGCAAATCAAGTATAAACTTCTCACTTGTCTCTGAAAATACAGCTGAATGATGTCTGTCCCTGTAACACTGCCCGCACGTCTCTGCCCCTTGGATTTGTCCAGCTTTTTCCTCCTTAGTTCTCCAGCCCAAATTACACATATGAGTCAATTACCTAGTAATTCATGCTGTCAACACTTCCTTGTTTTGGTTTCGCTCTTTGCAGGGGTAAGGGGTTCCTGCAAAGAGCAAAGGGTGTAAGGGGAATAGAAATGCCTCTACCCAGGCATTTCTACCTAGTGAAAAAAAATACTTTATTGATATATAATTAACATACTGTACAATTCAGTAATTTAAAGTATATAATTCAATGGTTTTTAGTATATTTACAGTTACAAAACCATCACCACAATCAATTTTAGAATATTTTCCTCATCCCCCGCAAAAAGTTACACCCATTAGCAGTCGTTTGCCGTTGCCCACTCCTCCCGCCCTTGAATTCTTACCCCAGCCCTAGGAACCACTACTTTACTTTCTGTCTCTCTGGATTTGCTTGTTCTGGTTACCTCATATAAATGGAATCATACAATATGTGGGCCTTTGTGACTGCCTCTTTCACTTAGCATAATAATGTTTTCAAAGTTCATCCATGTTGTAGCATGTATCAGTACTTCATTCCTTTTTATTGTTGAATAGTATTTTATTGTATGAATATAACACATTTTATTTATTATTCTGTTCATTAAGTTCTTGTTTCTATCTCGAAATCTTTTCTTATGAGATAAACTCTGATAGCACTTGTAGTTGTTCAACAATATTGCCAGCCAGCCACCAAATGCCAACCAGATTGCAGACTCCTTAAATTCAGGCACTATTACAGTTTCCTGTAAGGCTTAGCGGAGTGCTGGGTGCATAATATTCATTTATAGATGATAGTTTTCTAATGTGTTCTCTTAGACAGTGTCAGTAAATGTAGTTTGTGAGAACGTTTTATGTCTATTATTTAACTTGGTTCTCTTTTTCTTTTTTTTGAGACGGAATCTCGCGAGTGCAGTAGCGGGATATCCGCTCACTGCAACCTCCACCTCCTGGGTTCAAGTGATTCTCCTGCCTCAGCCTCCCTAGTAGCTCGGATTACAGGCAGCTGCCACAACACCTGGCTAGTTTTTTGCAATTTTAGTAGAGACAGGGTTTCGCCATGTTGGCCAGGCTGGTCTCGAACTCCTGACCTCAGGTGATCCGCCTGCCTAGGCCTCCCAGAGTGCTGGGATTACAGGCATGAGCCACTGCTCCCAGCCTAACTTGGTTCTCATAATAACTTTCTGAAGTATTAACTGGAAAAAGTCAATATATTTGGAATTTATAAGTTGTGCTCTTGGTTTTATGGTGATTTATTGATACATTATGGAGAAAGATAAGCTGCATCACTCAAAGAATGTAAGTATGTTTTAAAGCAGTACTTCTGAAAATGTCACTGGAAATTACCTTTAAGAATTTTTTTTGTGGAATATTTATTTCTTTAGGCCTTAAATAATAAAAAAGAGACTTATCTAAGTTAATGTTTTACACATCTTGTTTTAAAAATCTTTTCTTTTTTTTAGCAAATGGCAAAAAGTAAATTTGATTCTTGAGGGAGTGGATACAATTTCAAAAATCCTGTTCAATGAAGTCACTATTGGGGAAACAGACAATATGTTCAATAGATATGTAAGTTTATAATGACATCAGGTTAAAAAACCATTTATGTGTGTTTATGTTAATTGCTTTTGTGAGTAGAGAAAAGTAAATGCATAATTGGCCATGTGACAAATACAAGCTCATTAAAGCACTGGATGAGTTACTTCATTTCTCAGTTGCCAGATTTGTGAAATAATGGAAACCTTACCAACCCCATGGGGTTAGTGTGGGGATTTAGTAAGCTAATTATATAAAATGTTGGCAAGTTCTTGGCACATAGGAAGTGTTCAAAACATGCCAGTCCCTTCTTTGGTGATACAGTTTCATTGGACAAATGATTTTAAAATAAAATGTCATTTCCTTTCTGGAATAGTTACATTAAGAGATTATATCCTGATCTTCCTTTCCTTTCAAAGGTAGACTTTATCAAAACAAAAATAACTCATGACTTAGAAATGCATGCTGTTCATACCAGAGAGGCAGGTTGTCATGAAGCGTCTAGGAAACACTTGGCAGTTCAAGGCCACATATAAGTAGACAGAGCAGACATTCCAGAGCTAAAGTTATTTTTTGCTCTATCCATTACCCTAGAACCATCATTCTGCCAGGAAAAATAGAAGGAGAAGCCTAGAAACTTGGACTGGGTAGGAAAATATGCTTAGTTTTAACTAAAAGTGGACAACTAAGTGATATAGTATTTCAGAGAAGTGTTTCCCTTGCAAGGAGGCTAAACCTAGATTGGCATTATATTATGCATCTTTCATACAAAATGCCTTTATCTAAAATTTTACACACAAGACTACTTCCACATCATGGGTTTGTCTGTTTGTTCCCTTTAACTTAGAGCTTTGATATTACCAATGTGGTCAGGGACGTGAACTCCATTGAGCTGCGTTTCCAGTCAGCAGTGTTGTACGCAGCACAGCAGAGCAAAGCTCACACACGCTACCCGGTGCCCCCGGACTGCCCTCCACTTGTGCAGAAGGGTGAATGCCATGTCAACTTTGTCCGGAAGGTAATGGTCTCTCAAACAGGTCGGGTTTTATTTTTGAGGACAGGATGTGCTGGCTTATGAAATGCTTATTTGGAGACTCCCATGGCATTTCAGAAGTTAGGAATCTCTTTCCTGATCCCTTAGTGGGGTTTGAAAATTTGAAATAAGAACCAAAAGATTATTTGAAATATTGTGGAGAATCTTTATCTTTTTCTAAGTTTTCTTCCTGAAACGTGTTCAGAACTTAGGTAACAGAAAAAGAAAGGAAAAGAAAAATATGTGGCTGAAAATGGAACTTTACAAATTATTTTTTTAACATTTAAGTTTATCAAACTTTTCACTAGATTGTGAAAATGTATTAGTGATTCTTGTTTCTAGGAAGCCTTCTGCAAATATTAGTATATTTGATGATATGTTCTTGCATCTTACTGTCGGGTTCTCATAAAATCTAACAAAAAGATAACAAAGTCCACAAAAGTAATTATTTTTCTTTGAGTCTGATTCCATTCTAGAGGATTTGGATCTATTTTACTACATGATTAAATTAGTATTCTGTGTGACACTTGGTTTTTTAATGTTTATTTCATTTTATTTCATATTTAAAAAATTTAATTGTGTGAACTATACATAAAATTTATCATTTTAATAATTTTTAAGTGTACAGTTTAGTAGTGTTAAGTATATTTACATTGTTGAGTAACCATAGAACTTTCTCATCTTGCAAAACTGAAACTCTATACCCATTACCCATTATATTATATTATACCCATTATTGTTTAAACAGTAGCTCTCCATTTCCTTCTCCCCAGCCCCTGGCAACCACCCTTCTACTCTTTTCTTTCTTTCTTTTTTTTTTTTTTTGAGACTGGGTCGCACTCTGTCGCCCAGGCTGGAGTACAGTGGTGCGATCACAACTCGCTGCAGCCTCCACCTCCCGGGCTCAAGCGATCCTTCCACCTAGGTCTCTTGAGTAGCTGGGACTACAGGCGAACGCCACCGTGCCCAGATAATTTTTGTATTTTTTTTGTAGAGACAAGATTTTGCCATGTTGACCAGGCTGGTCTTTAACTCTAAGGCTCAAGCAATCTGTCCACTTTGGCCTCCCAAAGTGCCGGGATTACAGGTGTGAGCCACCTTCTTTTCTGTGTGTTTGATTCCTCTAGAAATCTTATATAAGTGGAATCATACAGTATTTGTCTTTTTGTGACTGATTTATTTCACTTAGCGTAATTTCCTCATGATGCATCCATGTTGTAGCATGTGTCAGAATTTCTTTACTTTTTAAGGCTGAATAACATACCATTCTATGCATAGACCACGTTTTGTTTATCCATTCATCCGCTGATGGACATGTAGGTTGCTTCCACCTTTTGGCTGTCGTGAATAATGCTGCTATGAACATGGGTGTACAAATATCTCTACATGACCCTTCTTTCGATTCTTTTGGATATAGTCCCAGAAATGGTATGGTTAGATCATACGGTAACTCTATTTTTAATTTTTTGAAGGATTGAATTTATTTATTTATTAGTTATTTATTTATTTGAGATGGAGTCTTGCTCTGTTGCCCAAGCTGGAATGTACTGGCGAGACCTCAGCTCACTGCAACCTCCGCCTCCCATGTTAAAACAATTCTCTTGCCTTGGTCTCCCGAGTAGCTGGGATTCCAGGCATGCACCACCACACTTGGCTAATTTTTAAATTTTTAGTAGAGATGGAGTTTCGCCATGTTGGCCAGGCTGCTCTTGAACTTCTGACCTCAGGTAGTCCACCTGCCTTGGCCTCCCATAGTGTTGGGATTACAGACGTGAGCCATAAAATTTAGTTTTAACAACAAATGTAGTGATTGGGCTCATTGTGAAGACACTAAACATATTTTCCCAATACTCTT